TCTTCTTGTGAAAAGAGCATGTTTGCTGTAGACTTTGTGCAAAGATCGAGTGCCTGTGGGAGTCATCCCCATATCGCCTAGCTAAACTTCTCGGTGGGGTTTCCCGATTGCTGGCTTCCGCGTTCTCAGGGGTATGGATTCTTCAGTAGCGTAGCCGTAATGATGGAAAAATGCTTTCTCGTTTCCCTCTAGTGTGCCGAGATTGTGTCCAGGGGCTAGCAGATGGGTTTTCTCCTTCCTGTCTATATTCAGCTTGTGTTTTTACTAATCTGGTGGGGGGGGGGGGGGGGGGAGGTCCAGAGAGGAAAATCAGGCTGAAGATACAACTTCAAACATTTAAAACTGTGTCCCGCTCAGTTTACCCCTGCAAATGGAAGTTAGGTGTGAGACTTGGATTTGGCCAGGTTGGGGGGCAAAGTACAGCTTGAATCAAAAAGAGCCAATAGATGGGTGTGTCCGGATGGCAGGGAATCTAGACACATCTCACTGGGTGGCCTCATTCAGAGGAACAAAGAGAAGGATCCCAGCCTTGCTAAGTAGCCTCGGAAACAGACATTGTGGCTGGTGACAGACCCCCCTCTGCTGGGCTGGGAACTCTGCCTGGCACATCACGATTGGGGGCTGAGGCATTTTGGGGACAAGGCAAGAGGGGCAAGCATGACACCACATGGTGCCACACTCTTTTCTCTGGCATCTTCCGTGTTGAGTCATCACCGAGGCACTCTGATTCTACCTGTGCGTTGCCATTCATATCTGTTCTTTTACTCCCACCGCGCTCTCTCTGCCTTGGCTCCTTGACTGTTACTCCAGAGATTCCCTATCCTCAGAGAAAGATTTCGCCTTGTAGCTCCTAAAACACGGATAAGCTTCAGCTTCAGCGCCTCTCCCTTGCCAAGAGCTGGAGGAGCCCGAACAATGTGGTCGTCTATATCTACATCTGCATTAAAATGTATGAAAAATATGATGAAAAATATGATAAAATGTATGAAACGTATGATCTATTTATTGGTTAAAACTGTTTTCTCTTTCGGGGCGCCTGGGTGGCTCAGTCGGTTGATCCAGCTCAGGTCATGATCTCAGGGTTCATGAGTCCAAGCCCCGCATGGGGTTCGCTGTCAGCACCAGTGCCCGCTTCTGTCCCCTCTGTCCCCTTCTGTCTTCTGTCCCCTCTGTCCCCTTCTCTCTCTGCCCCTCCCCCACTGGCGCTATCTCAAAAATAAATAAACTTTAAAAAAACTGTTTTCTCTTTCCATTCCAACTTCTCCAACCTCTACTGTTGGCGTGTTAGCTTAGTCATGGGCATTTGGAGGCTCTGGGGAAGTTGATACATTTGGTTCAGGTTTCATAGAGCGTTCTTCTGTGGGTGGCATTTGTTTCCAAATGCAGCTAAGTTATTGCATCCTGGTGCAGGAGTGACTTTCAGGAATATTCCTTTGGCCCCCTGCACTGACGCACCCAGCTCTGTGACACAAAGCAGGCCAGCACTCATGTTGTGATAGGAGTGTCTTTTGAGGAGCGGCTGGGTGGCTCAGCCGGTTAAGCGTTCCTTGGTTTGGGCTCACGTCATGATCTCATGGTTTATGAGTTGGAGCCCCACATCGGGCTCCGCGCTAACAACGAGGAGTCTGCTTGGGATTCTGTCTTCTTCTCTCTCTGACCCTCCCCCGCTCACTCTCAGTCTCTCTCCCAAAATAAATTTAAAATAAAAGAAACTTTAAAAAGGAGTGTCTGTGGTGTCTGAAACCAGCTACTTCTGAGGAGTCAAGGAGAAGCAAAGTTTAAAATGTACAAAGCAGGAGCTGGTCTGTAAAGGATCCTTCTAAACGTCAGATACAGAAAATTGTAAACAGAAGACTTTGTTTTCCACAACAACTAATCACAACAAAAGTTTTCTCCTTTGGGGAGTATACTAGGTCATGCTGTGTATTTTATTGTAAGTACCATACTTTTCCTCTCTCTCTCTCTCTCTCTCTCTCTAAACATTCTGCAAGAGATTTATTGGAATTTCCATGTTTCCGCTTGTGTTCGTGGTGTTTATTATCATTCTAAAATTTATATTTCGTGGTTTGCCTGGGTGGCTCAGTTGCTTAAACTTCTGAGTCTTGATTTTGGTTCAGGTCACGATCTCACAGTTCGTGAGATCAAGCCCCACTTGGGATTCGGGATTCTCTCTCTCCCTCTCTTCCTGCCCCTCCCACTCTCTTTCTCTCTCTCAAAATAAATAAACAAATTTTAAAATAAAAAAATAAAATTTATACTTTGTTTTGGATTGTTTTGTCATTCAAAATAAGCTTTTGCTTTCATACTCAATTATTTGGATTCTTTCATTTAATGAGAGCTCTCCAAATTGAGTAATCTTTAGCCCAGCAAGATCTAGATGGGCCAGTGGCTGTCTTCCAGACCGTAGTCAAGGTGGCATTCTTCTCTTTTTCAAAATGGTTTAACTTTATTCGTGCTGAAATCAAGAGTCGGACGCTTAACTGACTGAGCCACCCAGGTGCCTGGAACGTGCTGCCTCATCTGTGCCTTTGACCACCTGGTTTCCTCTAATCACCACTACCTTCAGTGTTTCTTTGTTGGATAAACTTCTATCGGTCCTTCAAAATGCGGCCCGGTGGGAAATCATGAAGGTGAGTTGGAGACCTGCCAGGTCCAGAGCCCGGGTAGGATGGCCTGAAGGGCTCTCTCAGTGTCCACACTGGCTTTGTGAGCTGGCCTCGGGAAGCTTGGGGGCCAAGGCCCAGCGGCCAGTAAGAAGTAAGCCACATGTCCCTGCGGCTGGCTCCCGCCTGGCCTGGCCCGGAGCTGGTGCTGACCCCGGGGCGTTAAAGGAGCCCACGCAGCTTCCTGCTACCTAAAGGGCTTCAGCAGGAAGGACGGTGGCTTTCCTCCCGTTCCTGGTCTTCTGGTATTCCCACGGCATTCTCTCTGGTCTGAATATGGGGCATGTCCAGCCCCCCTCCTGCCACCCTCCCCTTCTGCCCACACTTCCTGGCACTCTGGCTGTGCTCCTTCCTTCAAGGCCAGAGCTGTGGAAATACTCTGGAGAGAGTCACTTGTTTCCCCTTTATTCTTCATCTATTGAGTGCTTCCTCACTACTCTACCCATTCTTTAAAAAAAAAAAAAAAATTTTTTTTAACATTTATTTATTTTTGAAACAGAGAGATAGAGCATGAACGGGGGAGGGTCAGGGAGAGAGGGAGACACAGCATCTGAAACAGGCTCCAGGCTCTGAGCTGTCAGCACAGAGCCCGCCGCCGGGCTCGAACTCACGGACCCCGAGATCATGACCTGAGCTGAAGTCGGACGCTCAACCGACTGAGCCACCCAGGCACCCCATACTACTCTACCCATTCTTAATTCATCTGCTAAGAAAATGCTATCTATAAATAGCTTTCATCTTATATTTGTGGCTAAATGATGCAACCACATGTGGCAAAACAGAGCAAGAAGTCAGTCATAGATGTTTTTTGATTTCATGCAATGCTGTTATTAGCAGCAACATTGATGATAATAAAGCACAGCCAGTTATTGTTTACCACATTTACTGAAAATCTCTTTAAGCAGGCACTTCTTCATTATTTAGTGTGTACTTTAATTAGTCACAACGTGGAGCGCCTGGGTGGCTCAGTCGGTTGAGCGTCTGACTTCGGCTCAGGTCATGATCTCATGGTTCCTGGGTTTGATCTCCGCATCGGACTCTGTGCTGACACCTCAGAGCCTGGAGCCTGCTTCAGATTCTGTGTCTTCCCCTCTCTCTCTGCCCCTCCCGGGCTCACACTCTGTCAATCTCTCTCTTGAAAAATAAATAAACATTAAAAAACATTTTTTTTAAATTAGTCACAGTGTTGTTATACTAAATTAAGCCGGAGTTTTATTAACATTAAAAAACGTTAAAACATCAAAACATTAAAAACATTAAAACATTAAAAAACATTAAAACATTAAAATACATTAAAAACATTAAAAAACATTAGAACATTAAAATACATTAAAAACATTAAAAGAGGGTTTCTCCTCTTTATTTCCTTTCCCATTGCCTATGTGAGTGTATTGCCCAGCCTTCCCTTTAGTTTAAGGATTTACATGAAAGGAAGATCATGCCAAGTTACAATCCACACCTCGCTCCCCTTTTAGAATACATACTATGTATCAAGAAGGGATATAAGGAGACTCTGAGAAACTTCCAGGCCAAAGAAAGCAAATGTTAAATCTATCATTCTTTAAGCATGCTCTTGGACAATTTTGCAAAACTCTCCTGTGATTAGCCTCTTTTTTTTTTTCTTGTGAGTGGGGGGGTTGAAAACAGTTTCCTTTGCATCCTCAAATATATGAATTTTATTTCTTCTTCCGTATGTCCAAGTGGCCAGTATGAAGCCCCTCAAGCCTCTCTGCCCGGACAGGAGAAAATAATGTTGCAACAACCTCTCCTAAATCCCAAGGACTGTGAATCTGCATAGATAAATCTGCTGTGCACATTTGCTGTCTCCAATGTGACTTCATTTGGATAAACTGGGGGAGGAGCTCTGAGGACGGAGCCTGGTCTGTACCTGTCTTCAAAGAAAGCCGAAGTTCACTGCTGCTCTGTGAACTTGACCACGGTGAGTGAATCAGGTAGGAGCGCCATTTCTCTGCTTCTCTTTCTCCAGGTTCGGAGCTTTACAAATGGGACCAGGCTGGAAGTGGGACCCCCTGACGTGTACTGGTGCTGAGTCAGGGCTGAGAAGTCCCGGGAACGTGCAGGCTGACCAGATGACTGGGGCTTTGGAGCCACTTGGGGCACTGACATGAGATAGATGACAATTTCTCAAATACAGCTTTGCTCAGCTGGACTTAATACCAAATGTCAAATACCAGAGAATCATAATAACCCAGACGGTCATCAAGAGTGAGGCACTTTCAAGGACATTTACTGTTGTTCCAGCCAAATCACGGTCCAATTTTCAGCTCCACAGAATTCTGATCTTGCTGTCATCTCTTGTAAGTAATAAGGGTTACAGGAGGATCAAGGACACAGGCCGGGAGTTGAAGATAAATGACAATCCACCACGCCTTCTAGAGAATATAGAAACGAGACTATTTATTTTATGCAAAAAATAGTTATAATTCTTACACGTGCTCAGCAGATCTATTTTGCCCCAAAAGATAAGTAGCCTTTTTTTTTTCTTTCTGGCAGATAATTAATAGTTTCTTATCTATATTTCCCTTGTCCAAACTCTGCTGCTAGGCAGAGTAGAAGAAAAGCAAGAACATGTTCGATACACTAATTATAAGGTTATGACATTATAAAGTGCAATCCAAATACAGTGGCCTCAAAGATTCTGAAATCTGTGCCAAAATGAATCACAGAAGGACAGAGTCACTGCAAAATGTTCAGCAAGTGACCATCTCATTTGTTTCTTATTTATCCACCATTCCTGTGGATAGAGTTGATGCTGCTCTTTTATTTGCTTCTCTTTGTCCACTCTTTCCACTTCTATCGAGTGCTTCTTTCTCTGTGAGACGAGGGAAGTGAGCACATGCCCATGACATGGATTTTGGGAGGCTGAGGGACGTGTGGTACTTGAAAAAGCCGAACACATACAGGTGCTTGTGGGCATGTGGTTCGAATGGATCCCCATAAACGTGCTTTAGTTACCTAGTCATTGTCCTGGATGCTGAAGGGCTGAGAGTCTGAGAAGAGATTACCCAAGAGAAGTAGACAGGTTGGCCTTGACCTGAGAATTTCTTGCTTTTGCACCTGTGAGGGGAAGGAAGGCCTGAACAAAGGCAAAGGACTGTTCTTCCGACTTCCAAATTCTGCGGTAACCTGACTTGCACTTTAAGCCACTTCCTCCTAGAGGTGGAACAGCCTCCTCTTTCTCCCTTCCTCTTGGGCTACCCCCCTTGGTGCTAATGTCTTCAATAAAATTCAGTGATTTTTTTCTTCCTGTAAATCTTGCTTCCAAAACATGCATGTGTGTGCGTGTGTATTTTAACTTGGAGAGAAGCTTGAAACAAGATAAAACATTTGTTCATATTTTACCCCTGACATTTATTTTATCTGAATTCATCTTTGTTCAAAAACGAATAAAATAAATAAAAATAAAAATTATTCTGTCCACTTTTCAAGACAAGTCTGTCTAACCATCCATCTTTTTAAATTTTTTAATGTTTATTTATTTTCGGGAGAGAGAGACAGAATGTGAGCAAGGGAGCAGCAGAGAGAAAGGGAGAGGGAGAATCCTAAGCATGCTCCACGCTGTTAGCACAGAGCCGTACCCGGGGCTTGATCATGATCTGAGCTGAAATCAAGAGTTGGATGCTCAACCGACTGAGCCAAGCACGTGCCCCTCTCCAACCATATATCTTATAATCACTCACTGCATTTGCACACACATCTGCAGGCCCAGCCCACCTCTAGGTTCTAAGCTGGGGGCCCCTTTCAAAGAACAAGATTGTCCTCGCACCTGATAGGTGAAGGGCACTGTGGCTGGGGAGGTGGGGCTTCTACTCTCCCAACGCTTCTACAAAGTCAGCTGCCTCTGTCCCACTTTCTCCTCTGGGGCCTTTTCGAAAGCAATCCCCTGCTCTATCTCACATTCTCCACCCCTTTCCTCTCTATCTCTCCCCTTCTTGGCTTCCAGCTATGTTCCAGAATTTCCTCACTATAGGTCCATGCCCCACCTGCATCTGCCACTCAACACTGTATTTCCAAAGAGCATGCCGCAGCTGATACGACTACAATTTGGTTGGGGCGCATACGACATAGGATTTTTCCAAATGGCTGGCCAAAGGCCCAAATTGCATTTGGCCAATCACTTTTTTCTCTAAATTTTTAATCCCTTGTGTATCGTAAAAGAGATTTAGTTCCTCTGTTTCTGGTTCATTTGCAATTACAGTAACTCCTCAGAACCTTGTGTTGTAAGAGTTATTTGATGTTCAAGAGGTCTTATTAACTTTTACATAGTGCTTTAAAAACATTCTTCCTCAAACCTGGAAGTAGCCTTTGGCCAGCTATAAACTAACTTCAATATGAGGTTGTGTGGTTTCAGTTCAAGGCCTGGAGTAGATGAAAGGTGTTTTTTCACCGCCATGAAGCGACCGTTCAGAGTGGACTTGGTTATTGCATTAACCCCGGGAAAAAATTTAATTAGGACTGGGTGTACCTGGAAAACAACGTTTCCCAGGGTGCGTGCATCTATAGGATGGGGTGAAATGGGGTGGGGAGGGAAACCTGGAGAAGGTGGCCTTAGAATTTCAACTCGTTATGGTAACCCCTGGACATTATTAACCTTAACATGAATGTGAAGAATCCCAGATCCGATCATTTCGATTCCAGATAAGAAGGCTGATCTCAGGGAAGTTTTTAAACACACATACACATCAGTGAAATAGCCAACAGAATTGGATGGTGGCAAAAGTGAGGAATGTGTAGAGAGGGAGGTCTCTGAGGATAGAGTGGAAATGATGTGTAGACAATTGAAATGGGGGCTGGATTTTCCATCCCAGGCTATCGTAAGAGAAGCGAAGAGAATAGTTTTAACAGCTCTCACTCTGCTCAAGAGGGGAAACTGGACACGAGGTGGAGTGTTACCTGGGCGTTGAGATGTCTAGACTAACTGGAGAAGTGCAGACAAGCAATTAAGTTCAGGAGACAGGGTTGGGGTAGCAAATGTTCTGAGTGCTCCGGGGAAACCTGTTTCTAATGGTGCTGTCGAAAAGAAAACCACAGGCCCAAAATGGAGTCACTTCTGCTAGGCTATGTCACCAAACTTAATACCTAACTTAATTGCAGTTTCAACACTCGCCTCTACAAAATGTAGTCTTAACCAGTCAGTCAGGAATTTTCTGGTCGGCACCAGTGAAGTAATCTGTCCCACGGGCCCTCTCTATCCCTCAAAGGAAGATGAGGTAATTCACCTAATAAGACCCCTCTGCCCATCCCCACCCCCAAGGGAAAGTGACCTTGTCTAAAACAATCTGATCTTTTTCTAATACTTCTTGCCCCACCCTTCTTCCTATAAAGACCTGCCATTTTGTGAAGCTCCTTGGAGCTCCTTTCTATTTGCTCGATGGGGTGCTGCCTGATTCATGAATCGTTTAATAAAGCCATTAGATCTTCGAATTTACTTGGCTGCATTTTGTTCTTCCCCAGGCTGATGTGTTCAGCCATGGCGTCCCAAACAACCAGCACCTGATGCTGTGTCTTTGCAGGATCTGAGTGGAAACTGGGGCTTACCTGCATCTGCCCCGACCTGTCTGATACGCAGCCAGTATGTACCCATGCCAGCTGTCCATTCTGAACGGGGGTTACCCATGCCGTGTCAGCCGTTAATTATTTTTTAACTTTCTCTTTTGATTTAAGTTTCGTAATCCCATCTGACATACAAGCTTATAAAGAACAAATTGGGGTTCCGGAGCACTGACAGGCAGAGGGCTCTTCTGATTAGTTCTAACACGAAACATGTGTCTTCCACCAGAACAATGTTACAGAGAGGACGTGGCGGGAGTCCTACCACGAGAAGTTATGAGAGAAGAAAACCAAATTAGAGAAGAGACATCCAGTTTTATCAGCGTTAGGAGACCAGCTACAGGCCACTCTTGGACTTATACCCACCCTGATTCCACAGTGTTGATGTTGGGATCTCCTGTGGGCTAACCGTGAGCCCTCCCTCCAGGAAATGAAGACGAAGGCAGCTGAGTGGGGACAATATAACGAGGAGAGGAGCTGTTTGGATGAATGTGGAAGCAGCAGTCAGCCCAGCCCCTGTCCTTGTCACCTGCGTCTTTCTCTTCCTCACCACATGTGTAAATCCCATGCTCCCCTCCATGTCCAGCTCAAGCCCCATCTTTCAGTAAAGCTTCCCTTGGTCCCCTCACTCCATGTGGCACCCCCCTTCATCCCTCTGCCCTGGACATCCGTGGTCCATGAAGTTTCGCTGAAGGTTCCTTGCGCTGTTATTCTCCTTTTCATAGGTGTTTGTCTGGTCTCCCCCACTTAACGTGGTTATATTCTCCAGGACAAGGATTGTCTCTGTACCACTTTGGTTTCCTCACGACACCTAGCGTGGTCAGCAGCTGACCGCACAGAAGGCTGTGAGACTTCTTGAGCCTCCTGAAGCCTAAAGTGGCCCCATGTGGGTAAATGTTCTAGCTGAATAAGAAAACAAGGACTCTTGGACTCTGGAGGAAGGAGGAGAAAGGGGTTGACAGATTTATAGCAGAAACGAGAACTTGAGAGGCATCCTTCATGGAGTGGGTGGCTTTGTGCGGTAGTGGGCACAGGGAAGGGCACTTGTCTATGTGTCCACTGAATCACAAGGACTCCAAGTCTGGGGTAGAGAAAAAGTAAACTGATCTTTTGGCTTTAGGTGCATCTGATCAGGCAACATGAGGCAGTCTGGAATTGCCATCTTCCCTCCTGGGAGCATTCCACCCCCCCACCCCATCTGCTACATTTCACCCACATGAGGGTACGTGGTAGATGTCAGACCATATTC